TTATGATCACTTAGGGTTTTAGAGTAATTTTTTACTGTCTTATTCTTACAGATAGTCCTTCGAGGACTCGGCTACCCACAGGGCAGCTTGTACCGAGTCAATGCACACGTAAGTTGTAAACAAATCTACATCCACATCTGTCTCGATGTATGTCTAAATATTTAATGCTGTATTCTCTATTGTCCTTACAGCGACCGAGAGGATCCTCCTGCAGATGTTGGGGGAGTTGCAGAGCCAGGTCAAACATCTGACTGAAATTGTCACCCAGATGCATCGCTTGGGTAACAGTCCTGGAAATGCACCATTAACAACGGCAAGTGCACTGTAAAAAATTGCTTTATGATCTATTTTAATCAAATTATTTGATTGATTTTGGAAATGTTCATTTTTTTCCCTAGTGTAAATAATATTTTCAAGGTGTATAAGTTTATATTTCATATCGATAACATTTGAGTGAATTACTATTAACTCAATTACAGAGATTTTTTAAATACTTTGCGATGTAGCTTACTAGATTTACTGATCTTTGTGCACACTGTTACCCAGGTCTTTCTATAAGAATCTATTATTTTTTATAGTGTGCAGAGGATGGGACATTTCCGCTGCAAGATACTGAGGACCTGAACAAGGTTGAAATGCAGTTGGAAAACGCCGAATTTAAGAACAAACTGGTATGATTATGGTTTAAGAAAGCTACCTTGTACATAGATAATACATGGATACTAAAATATAATATATACTTACATACATACATACATACACTACCCAAAAGTATGTGAAATATTGTATGACCAAACATCTGTTGTCACCTCCAGGTATCCAAACTGTCACTGGCTGGGGGACAAACAATGAAGAAAACAGTCTGGAGGATCTGTGGGAAGGTGTTTGATCCCCAGTTGGCTGTGCATCTTAACTGGTGTGGCAGAGGGGATAAAACACCAATGAAAAATGCAAAAATCATCAATGTGATTATTCATAAGTAAAACCAATGTTTAACCAAAGTTAAAAATTGACCTTTTGGGATTTTTATCCTTATTGTTTGAACACAATATGGGTTTAACCTCCCCATGCACGTTATAGTTATTTCCCATAGTTTTCATTGATTTTAATGCCCAAAGTTGCTTTTCTGTCAGACTGCAGGTAAAAATTGAACCATCAAATTCTAAAGGAATAACCTGTTTATGATTAGACCTTATTAAATGGTTAATGTCAATGTAAGTGACCGTTGTGTCCGTTCTGTTTTTTAGAGTCTGCATTACGGAACCCATTGGTTTCTAGTCCGAATGAGGCTGAAATCGAGAAAACCATCAAGGAGTGGCTCAGACTGTCTCGTGACAGGCTGAGCCGGCGTGTCAGATAGCTCTCTATTTATTGTTCTGTTTTTTTTTTCTTTTTAGTGTATCTTGTATATATTGTGTGCATTTTTTATATTTTTTTTTTAATAACTCTTTGAACGAACACCTTTGTGTTTTCTTTATATTATAAATAAAATATTAGGATCAATACGTGTTCGACACTAAAGAAGACGTAAATAATTATTGGTAATTGTACAATAAGATTATCGGGAAATGATCGCGTAGGATTAAAAAGGGGGTCGGGGAATGATCGCCTACGGATAAAAAAAAAGGTAGGGAAATGGTCGCGTAGGATAGTAAAAAGGGTCGCGGAATCATCGCGGAGTTCGCCTAGCGTTTTCATCGCTGTTACGGAGGCGCGACGTAGTGCCAATATGCAAACGACTGAAAAGCTACTAAATACCGACCTTAAAAAGACTTATCAGCGACGTAGCTGTTACGGAGGCGCGACGTAGTGCCAATGTGCAAACGACTGAAAAGCTGCTAAATGCCGACCTTAAAAAGACCTATCAGCGACGTAGCGCCGACGTACTTGTGCTGACTGGGACCTCGTTGGCTGCTTACGGAAGGATTTAACCTTTTTCTTAACCCTTTACTTAAAGTTATCATATTTATTAAATATGCCATCCAAAGTTAATTACTTGTTCATTTTCTGTGTTTATCATTGTTCACGTTTTTTTTTCATTCGGATCTATTTGCGATCCATTCTGAATAAACAAACAATGCAGTTTACATGCTTCGTCCTTGTTGCATTTTTCATTA